GAGAAGGACTCAAGATGAGTTAGGATAAAATACTGGACATGACCAGCCCCGGGAAAAAATTCTATACTTTGCGGACCTGACCCCCACCCAAGACTCACCGCTAGAAGCTCACGATGTGAGGGAATGGGTGCAAAGGCAATATGTAGGTTGGGGAACGCAAGGCAGACAGGTGCACAGAATGGCGCAAAGCAGCCAAGATGGATTTCAAACTATTGAAGTTAGTGACGAAAGAGCGAGGCCCTCAGGCGGACGGACTATTGTTTGGAGAACCATTTATCTCAGCAACGGTTTGGTAGTAAGGAAGAAGACAGGATACTATTGCCCAGTCATCAACCTTACGCCAACCCAATGGTTTTGGGGCGTAACGACACCTCAAGAAGGAAGGTATCCATCTCTTAGGGGATCTACTCCTCGAAAACGACGGGCTCGCAAGGTTGGATTTGAAGGGCACTTACCTACTGGTTCACATGGTGCCTCATGAAGTTTCTGAATCTGGTCATGGTGCACTTGAGAGCAAAGGGTATCCGCTGTCGCACACCTAGACGACTTACTGACTTTTTGCAAATCCAATTCCTGACTACTTTTACAGACGAGATTTATGATTACAGTTTCTGGAATTGTTGGGATTCATAGTGAACAGACAGTAGTCTGTTCGGTCCCAGTTCCAAGTAATTCAGTTAGTCTACTTCGGAATAGATTCCACCTTGGGCGGATTACGCCTTCCCACATCATTGATAGCGACGATTCGTAAGGAAATTCGACAGGTGCGGCTGAAAGGCACCATAGCACTTCGACTATTTCCCAAGACCGCATCACTACCGGACCAGGCAGCGGCTGAAAACTCACTACCTGAGATCCGGACACACCTATGAAATTGGGATCAGAATAGCGAAGACCTCGATAGTACTCATCATCGCGGTAAAGGAGTCAAGCATGGCACCCAGAATGGTTGTCCTTAATTGGGAGCATCCTCTGCTCCTTCAGTTTTAACTTACCTTCGGGCAGATCCAAAAGGAGAACATCTTCCATTGATAATGCAGAAGCGCTTGGAGTTGGTGGATTGGTGTCTTTCAGGGGACTATCGCAACCAACTAGAGACCTATTATGGGACTCATGGACACCAGGTATGCACAGAAATTACTTATTCGCATGGAACACCTGGAGTCGCTGGTGTAAGGGAAGGGACTGCAATCCCTTTATTATCCCTATCTCCTCGATGCTGACTCTTTATCACACCTTTCACTACGGGCCGATCGCACTGTTCTATTAACGGGATACGTTCCGCGATTTCAACGACGCATACTCAGATTCACGACACCCAGGTCGATTAGGATCCTTTGATATGTCGCTTTCTGCGGCGTATCAACTGTCCAGTACCATGCGTCAACGATTCACTGTTTGTGGGACTTTGATTTGGTTCTTTTGGGACTAGTCATATAACACGGACCTATACCTCCGTCAGCCATAGTCACGTTACTTTTAGGTCTTTTCGTCGTAGAGCTAAATCTAATCCGCGTCTGTATCTTACACTGTTCCCGGCGCTTTTCCCCGTTTTTGTGCAGTTAAAGCGGTACTTCGTTACATGGAGAGCATGACAACACTTGGATTGTCACATTCAGGACATCTGCTTGTCTTATACCAACCATTCAAGCCAGTTACCATGAACACTCTGTCTAGACGTGTTTTGGGTACTCATTCAGTACGAGGCGCGGCCGCTTCTCAGGCCTTCACGGCGGGGCCTCTATATTTCACAGCGGCAAATTGGACACGGCAAGACTACTTCCGAATATTTATTTTCGTCAAACCACACACGCATACTTCTTGCTCATACCAGAGCGTTAAAAATGCAAAATATGAAGTCTGCTGTCATGTGATAAAATTGTAGATTATGCTAACGTAGTGTACCTATAATCTTCATTTTAATAATGACAGGAGGCGAGTATTTTCCCCTCCCTGTTTCCCTCCCTATACTCTGGGAAATTCTAATATTCTGGTTTGTCATTTTCTTAGTGTAATTATAAGGTTTTGGTATTTCAGTATATTTATGGGATGCTTATCTGGTTGACATGTGGTAGATCCGTGTTGATTAAGTATACTATGGTTGTTTAATGTTTCAGTATACTAACTTAATATAAATATAGATACATATAGTACTGGATTTAATATGGACAACAGTTGGGTTCCATCACCTTTCACATATTTCTGTTCTTTTCAGTGTAATCATCATAGATGGATTCGACAAGATAAAGCTGGAAGGTTTCAAGTTTCGTTCAAGTTATGCTCTACACGTTACACAGGACTGTTATTTGAATTTCCTGATGTTATAATAGACGGTTTTTCGCATCAATGAAAGAGGAAGTCATGTGTCTTTCAGGGCTTTATATATGGATGGGATGCCTGTTACTGATTGGTTTAAAGTTTTTTTCTGATTGACTTGTGCTGCTGGAGGCATAAAGTAAAGAAAGTTATGCAAAATACTCGCCTTCTGTAATTATTAAAATTAAGATTATAGGTACACTACGTTAGCATAATCTACAATTTTGTGCTTACATCTACCTGACGTGACAATCTGGCTTTGCCCATCAACTCCATGCACTACAATCCCTATCACTCCCAAACACTACAGCTCTTATCAACCCCAACCTCATCACAGCCCCTATCACCCCTCACTCTTTGCAGCCCCGATCTACCTCCCCCCACATAAAGCAGCCCCTATCCCCCCACTCACTCGAGTCTCCATAACCCCTGAAACCCAACAATTTCCCAGCTCTCCCTATAGCTTTTGTCTCCCACCTCCGTACACGCTACAGCTCTAGTTGTTTTATTTAATAGAGTACTTAAAGCACAAAAACCACTACAGTGTGATGTAGTAGTTATGGTGCTAGGAGTGCCCTGGTGTCCCCCATTGTAAGGCATCAAACTGTCTTAGAATGGGTTGACTTCTTACCTGGGGCATGTTGGATGCTGCTCCCTGCGACCCTGCCTTCTTTACAGCTCTGTGAGCTGCACGCCCCTGCTCGGGAGATTCTGTTAGTTCTCCTGAAATTTGTCCTGCACTACATGTCTAGCGTGTCAGCTAATCGGTCTCAACCAAAGAGCTAAGTCTTGCACTGTTAGGCTTAGCTCAATAAAAAAAATGTCTGGCTCTCAAAGACCTATAGGGAGTAATGTCTGGATGATCTCAGGAAAAAAGTAAATTATGACATTTGTTTGATAAATTTTAGTTAAATCAAATAAAGCTTAGCAACAATTAGTATATAACAATTTTAGTTTGTTTTGGTGCAGGTACTATATTAATATTAAAATTCTACCTGTCATGGTACATACAACAGTATTGTAAATCATAGGGGAAGGGGGGATATTTAATCTATTTTATGGTAGCAGAATTGTAATGCCAATAAAAAATTGACAGAGAGCAGGGGAACCATTGTACTGTTGCTTCTCGTACCCTCTATTACAGCAGCCATAGCATGTGCACTGTACTTGTTTTAATTATATGTAGAGTAGAGCGAACCCGGACTGTAAAGTTCGGGTTCTTACCGAACATTACGTTTTTTTGGACCCCGGACCCAAACACGGACATATCACTGTATGTTCGGGTTGGAGTTCGGTGTTCGGCGATTTAATGGCGCGTTTTGAAAGGCTGCAGGGCAGCCAATCAACGAGCGTTTGACTCGTGTGCCCTTAGAAGCCATCACAGCCATGCCTACTAATGGCATGGCTGTAATTGGCCAGTGCAGCATGTGACCCAGGTTCTATATATAAAAAGTCAATTTGGTGCCTGTACTTCAAATCTGAGAGTCAAATAGAACCGTCAAATACTGTGCTTAAATTGCAGTTTTAAACATTTGAATTCTTTAGGTGCTAAAAAGTCAATTTGGTGCCTGCACTTCATATCTGAGAGTCAAAAAGAACCATCAAATACTGTGCTTACAGCGCATTTTTAAACATTTGAATTCTTTAGGTGCTAAAAAGTCAATTTGGTGCCTGCACTTCATATCTGAGAGTCAAATAGAACCGTCAAATACTGTGCTTATATTGCAGTTTTAAACATTTGAATTCTTTAGGTGCTAAAAAGTCAATTTGGTGCCTGCACTTCATATCTGAGAAGCAAATAGAACCGTCAAATACTGTGATTATATTGCAGTTTTAAACATTTGAATTCTTTAGGTGCTAAAAAGTCAATTTGGTGCCTGCAGTTCATATCTGAGAGTCAAACAGAACCGTCAAATACTGTGCTTACAGCGCATTTTTAAACATTCAAATTCTTTAGGTGCTAAAAAGTCAATTTGGTGCCTGCACTTTATATGTGGTGTATGTGTACAACACTGGCTAGTTACTGCTTCTCAAGAAAGTCTAAAGACTTTTTTAAAAAGTGAAAAATAAGTGTTATTGTGATCGTTTCATATACAGAAGCATTAATATACATTTCTACTACAAAGTTAAAAACCAAACACCAAAACAACGTGGAATGAAGGTCATGCGAGTGACGTGTGCAGTTTGGAGGAAGAGGCGCTGGTCGCACAGAGGCACCAGCACAGCATAAGAGGGAGCAGGGTGCAAAAGCGGAGCGGCCGTCCCCGAGCACTCGCCGGCATGTATTATCTTTAGAATTCCCACAGTTATCCAAGTAACAGATGGAGCGATAAAAGAAACCATAACAGATTTAACGAGCCATTCGCAGTTTCGCGGTCTGGTGACCGGGACCCAGACACTGTCTGGGCGGCGGTCGGACGACCGGGACCCAGTATACCTGATGTTGAAGTTAGGAGTCACAGTGTGGAATGGATTAGCAGGGTCTGGTGCAGGGTAACTGCATGTTTGTGCGGCCACATACCAGGACCTTGATGTAGCTTCAGCAAGCAGCAGCAGGCGATAGTGGAGTTTCAGCTGCAGCACACACGGGTCAGTCGCTCTGCACTAGACTTGCCCTCTAATTGATCCAAGTTAAAGGATTTAAAGTGGACTCATTACAATTACAGGGCCTCGAAAGAGCAGTGTATTGTCGCGAGTGGGTAATTTGCGCGCCTGCTGCCTTCCTTGCATGTGGTAGCCGTTTCTCAGGCTCCCTCTCTGGAATCGAACCCTGATTTCCCGTTACCCGTGGTCACCATGGTAGGCGTGGAAAATTGCATCGAAAGTTCGAATGCGTTGTCGCCGTCACAGACACTTGCGATCGGCACGACATTATCACAGACAAGCGCAGCCGCCTGTCCACAACGTGGACAAGATCACATTTATTAAAATGAACGAGGCATGGATCCCACCAGACTTGTCTGTACCTTGTGCAGAATAGACATTTATACCGGCCTCACCCAGCCATTGTTATACTCAAGTGCACTTATTCTTTTTTTTTCCTTTTTTTATATGTCCCAATATTTAGGGGACTACCCCAATTAAAAAAAAAAATTTGGCTAGCTCCTCCACCGCCGCTGCTTCCACCTACATCGCCATGGTGTATACCCAGAAATATCAGAGCTTCTGCAGAAAGTGCGGGCCGTCTGTGCGCGCTTTTGGTGTTCTCACCCTGCTGCTTGCCTGTCTGCACTGCAGCATAACTGCGGCCTTCCCGCTCACCGCCTCATATGCGACGTGCCCACAAGGTGGAACTCCACCTAGCACATGCTGGAGAGACTGTGCGAGCAGTGAGCAGCAGCAGGCGATAGAGGAGTTTCAGCTGCAGCACGCACGGGTCAGTCACTTTGCAGAACAGCACCACTTCACCACCAATGAGTGGGCCTCCATGCGAGACCTGTGTGCCATGTTGCGCTGTTTCGAGGACTCCACCAACATGGCCAGTGCCGCTGACACCATTCTCAACCTTACTATCTCGCTTCTATGTCTTCTTGAAAAAAATGCTTTGGGCGATGATGGAAGAGGATGTGGCACAGGAGGAAGAGGAGGAGGAAGAGGGGTAATTTCCATGGTTATCAGGCCCGTCATTCACAAGTGGCTCGGAGGGTGGGTTCCTGCACCAGCATAGGCCAGGTACACAATTATCCAGCATCTCCAAACTGTCCCATGGAAGCGTTCAGCTGTCCATCTCCCAAACACTGGAGAGAAAGAGGAAGTACCCCTCTACACACCCGCGATCCCTGGCCCTGAATGCAAGCATTTCAAAATTCCTGGCCTTTGAAATGCTGTCATTCTGTCTGCAAGAAATGCACTGCAGGCCGCAAATGTTTCTATTTTGAGGGCTACCCCAATAAAAAAACAAAAAAACAAAAACAAATAAAAAACAGTATTGGCTACCTCCACCGCCTCCACCGCCGCTTCCACCTGCACCGCCACAGTCACCGCCTCCTCAACCTCCTACTCCACATCCACCTCCTCCTCCTAGAGCAGGCTGCAAAAGCGGAGCAGCCGTTCCCTAGACAGTACGCCTGCTACTGTCCACCGCACCCAGGGACCAAGCACACCACAGCCAGCTCTAAGGAATTCCCTGGCGTGGCAGTTCTTCAGACAATGTGCTGACGACAAGACACTAGTGGTTTGCACGCTGTGCAATCAGAGCCTGAAGCGAGGCATAAACGTTCTAAACCTGAGCACAACCTGCATGACCAGGCATCTACATGCAAAGCACGAGCTGCAGTGGAGTAAGCACTTCAAAAACCAAGAAAGGTCTCAGGCTCCTCCTGCTTCCTCTTCTGCTGCTGTCTCGGCCTCTTCCTCCACCTCTTCATCCACCCCGCAAACAGAGGATGTGGCAGCAACGCCACCACATCCGCCACCGTCCCCAAGCATCTCCACACTGTATCATGGAAGCGTTCAGCTGTCCATCTCCCAAACACTGGAGAGAAAGAGGAAGTACCACCCTACCCACCCGTGATCCCTGGCCCTGAATGCCAACATTTCAAAATTCCTGGCCTTTGAAATGCTGTCATTCCGTCTGGTGGAGACAGATAGTTTTAAAAACCTGATGGCGTTATTGGACTGCAAGAAATGCACCGCAGCCCGCAAATGTTTCTTTTTTTTTTATATGTCCCAATATTTTGGGGGCTACTCCAATTTAAAAAAATACAAAAACAAAAAACAAAACATAAACAGTGCTGGCTACCTCCTCCTCCTCTACCGCAGCTTCCACCTACACCATCGGCTGAAAGACGCATATGATACACTGCCTGATGTTCCCTCTGACAGGTCTCAAACATGGAGGAATGCAGCTAGTCAAATATCCATCACCCCTTTCAGCTGAGATGGCATGTCTCTTTTATGTTTTTGATTTGTAAAAGCTTAAGTTTAAATGTTGTTCTGTGGTGTGCGGGACTCTCTCACCCCTGACTTTATGAACCACTTGCGGTGAAACCTTTGAAATTCCAGATGCTCACCTTATTATATATTATCTTATAGAAATGTGCTATGATACCTAATGCCATATAATTGTTTTAATATGCTGAATGGAAAGCTTGTTCTGGCTGTTTTGGCATTGCAAGCCTATATGTACAACCTATGCGCAACCAAAATAAAGATTTATTTTTTTTAATTACCAATTACGTCAGATCACTTATTAGGAGTATCGAAAGATGCTCCCTGATGTTTGTACATACAAATAATGTAACTTTTTTTTTATTATTGAATTTGAGTCATTCGAACATATGACATATTCCAAATAACTAGAACAGATAAAAAGAAACAATAATAGCAGTATTGCAGGTAATTCATCACACCTTGGAGATACAAAAATATATAGAACAGAATATATTGAGCAATAGATAAACTTCTCCAGTCAAGACATTCAATAGGTGCTCCCATTAAGGGACAAGGAATATAGTTTTGTTTTGATATAGTGGAGATGAGGACCTTGGGAGACATGTATCTGCTGCTCACTAAAAAGTGGTGGAAAATATCAAAGGGGTATACTCACCGCTGAAATGTGCCTTCTAGTTCCACTGATACCACACATTTAGTATTTTAGACCATTCTTTAGAACATAGCCCTTGATAAATCTTCCCCTTCCCACCCCCTACCCTCCCCCTTCTCATTGATTTTGAAAATATGACTAATAATGCAAAAGAAAGTCTTTTATTGAAGGATAGTGATCATACGAAGCCATTCATTATTACATAGTTGTTTGGCTTCTTTTTAAATCATAATGATTACAGAAATCTCCTAAATGGCCCTGATCAAAAGTTTACATACAATTGAATGTTTGGCCTTGTTACAGACACACAAGGTGACACACAGGTTAAAATGGCAAATAAAGGTTCCACACCAGTGGCTTTTTAAATTGCAATTAGCATCTGTGTATTAATAGTCAATGAGTTTGTTAGCTCTCACGTTGATGCACTGATCAGGCTAGATACTGAGCCATGGAGAGCTGAAAAGAACTGTCAAAAGACCTGCATAACAAGATAATGGCAGTTTATAAAGATGGAAATGGATATAAAAAGTTATCCAAAGCCTTGAAAATGCCAGTCAGTACTATTCGATCATGAATTAAGAAGTGGAAAATTCGGCAATTTCTTGATACCAAGCTAAGGTCAGGTAGAACAAGAAAGATTTCAGCCACAACTGCCAGAAGAATTTTTCAAGATACAAAGGAAAACCCACAGGTATCCTCAGGAGAAATACAGGCTGCTCTGGAAAAAGACGGTGTGGTTGTGAACATACTTGAACAAAAATTAGCTGAATGGTTGAGTTTCCAGAAAGAAGCCTTTACTGCGCAATTGCCACAAAAAAAGCTTGGTTACAATATGCCTGCAACACCTTGACATGCCTCAGCTTCTGGCACACTGTAATTTGGAGTGATGAGACCAAAATAGAGCTTTATGGTCACAAGCATAAGCACTATGTTTGGAGAGGGGTCAACAAGGCCTATAGTGAAAATAACACCATCCCCACTGTGAAGCATGGTGGTGACTCATTGATGTTTTTGGGGGAGTGGGGAAGCTCTAAAGGCAAGTGGAATTTTGTGAAAATTGATGGCAAGATGAATGCATGTTAACAGAAAATATTGGCAGACAATTTGCATTCTTCTGCACGAAGGCTGCGCGTGGGATGCTCTTGGACTTTCCAACATGACAATGAACCTGAGCACAAGGCCAAGTTGACACTGGCTACTGCAGAAAAAGGTAAAGGTTCTGGAGTGGCCATCAAAGTCTCCTGATCTTCATCGATCCACTCTGGGGAGATCTCAATGTGCGGTTCATTCAAGAATACCAAAGACATTGCATGACCTGGAGGCATTTTGCCAAGACAAATTGGCAGCTACACCACCTGCAATAATTAGGTACCTCATAGACAACTATTACAAAAGACTGCACACTGTCATTGATGCTAAAGGGGGCAATACACAGTATTAATAACTAAGGGTATGTAAACTTTTGAACAGGGGTCATCTCATTTTTTTTTCTTTGTTGCCATGCTTTGTTTTATAATTGTGTCATTCTGTTATAACCTACAGTTGGATATGAATCCCATAAGAAATAAAAGAAATGTGTTTTTTCCTGCTCACTCATGTTTTCTTTAAAAATGGTACAGATATTATCAATTATCCAAGGGTATGCAACTTTTGAGCACAACTGAATAGACCACTTTTGTTCATTATACTGTAACTGCAAAATCCACAGCAAGTTATTTATTAGCACTTAAAAATGATTCACAACACATACACTTTATTATGTGTTTAAATATTTACTAAAAAAATAAATAATATTGCCAATCCAGGTCATTTCATCCCAGGAACATGAACTCACATGACAGCAACACTCAAAAAAGTCAAACCACATTCAACAACTGTCATCCAAAATCTAATTTAAAAGTACTGGAGTATGTCGGCCCTCAAAGCACAATCCATCTTCCTCATCACTGCCAAAAAAACACAATCAGCACCATAAAGGAACTTTCTGTTCTAGCAGCAAAATATTCAGCAGCCCACTCAAAGTAAAGTATAGCTCTCTCCTCACAACAAGCAAGGTTGAGCTTCCTTCTTGTACGTGGCTGCTGTTCACTGGACTTCATATGATAAACAGTGCTATAATCAACATTGTGCATCAGTACTACTGCCACTATGACCACAAGTGCTACCACTGCGGTCACAAAAATCACCATATTTCCATTCTCCAACTAGTGCCAAACGGGTAACAGTCATTTCTTGTCTGCTGATACAGAAACCAAAAGAAGAAAGGACATGAAAAAAAAGATTACATACATTCTGGAGGCAACCATATGAGGACAGGTATGGCACAGTATG